TATATATATATATATATATATATATATATATATATAACCAGACAAGGTTATAAAGAAATTCATCAATGAAAAGTATGACCAAATCAAATGAAATTAATAAAATTGGGAGAGATACACAAGTGAAAATTAAATATATAATAATCGATCATTAGGTCAACCTAATAACAATAGTTAGAATAGTATAAATAAAATTTTAGGTTTAAATTTTGTAGTCATTTTATATATTAAAAAAGAGTAAAACATCTATTTTAAAAATTTATAAAATTTTTCAGAAATGTCAAATACTAACATGGGATATAACTAACGATTATAGATAATATTTAAATAGTGGTCATTTAACTTTTTAATAAATAAAAAATAATTAAAATAATTATATAAAAAATAAAAAATAATAATAATAGTTCCAATTTTAGAATAATGAAAATTATTAAAAAAAATACAGAAACTAAAATTAAAACTTACTAAATTTGTAGGAAGTAAAAACTATTTAAGTCTATTTAATATTAATATAATAGTATACTTACCACACCACATCACTGCTCAAGACATCAAAATGAGATGTGAAGAAGTTCCTCTTATAAGTGAAGAGGAATCCTTAAAGTAACAATTGGGTTCGGCATCATTACGAGGGGTAATGGGCAGTGCATTTGATGTAAATCAATTTTGTTATGTCAACAATATTATTAGTTAATAATTAATATAATGTGTATATTAAAATTTCATCTTTTATCATACAAAGTTATATGAGGAGGCTAATCTAATATCAAACCATTAGTGATGAAATCAAGCTGAGGCATAGAATTAGGATTGCTTCACGTTCTTCTTTCGATCTTTATTAATGGTTCCAAAATTTGTAAAGAAGACTTCAAATAGTAGGAAGGAGAGAATGGAAAGGTGGAGCCAACTTCATTAAAGGATGAGTTAAGAAGTGTTGATTTTGCTACAAAAAAGAAGTTTTTTTTTTTTTTTAATGAAAGATCTTAAGAAGTCACACTCTTCTAGAGAGATTCAAGACTTTTGAATAGAGAATCAAAATAATTTTTCTCATAAAATGCTCAAAAGTGACATCCAAGTACAAAGCAAAGTTATTATATACTAATGGGATATAATCAAATATAGCAACATGCAATTTTTTAATCATATCACAATATTAGTCGGTTAAAACTTAAAACATAAAATAAGAAATCGTACATTAATTATCTTTATATATATATGGCAATTAGTGGTGTGAGATGAAGGCAAAACATACATGATATAAATAAGAATATATATCATGTCTGCTTTTGGTTTCTTCTTCTTTAATATGATTTCTTGACCTAGAAATAAAGCAAAACTCCACAACTGCAACCGTAAGCTGTTTAAAATTAATTGCAATAAACCTTATCAATATAGTGTGACTTTTGGCTCTACGTCAAAATTGTTAAAAAAAAAATAATTCAGGTAGCACCCACTTGTTGGCTGATGATGAAATGCAGAACAATGTATACCATTAATTCAACAGATTTATTATATTACTTACTACTAGTTGCAGATAGAATGCAAAAGCTTTCTTTGGTCGGTCCCTTAATCATTTTTTAGACGGTTATCTCCCGTTCGTCACTATATGATCTTATTAAAAACCAAAGATGTAAGGATGCATCAAAATAATACTCATATTTATATTCCTTAAATCCACTTTTTGTCATTATAATTTCGTTTATCCTCTAAATTTTTTTATTACAAATTTAATCTTTTAATTTTCAAAATTAACACATATCCATCGTGTAAAAAAATGTCATTCAAAATTAAAAAAAAAAATGTTGATGTCACTTTAAGTGAAACTACCTATAAATCTTTTTTTTGGTATAACCACCCGGTATCCGAACCACAATGGGCCGACTAATCCGGATTCGGGGCGGGTCCAAGGATTACGGTATTTAAGCCCCTCTCAATCGCCGTTGTGGGGGATCGATCCGCAGACCTCCCTACCAAGTGCAGCCCCATGCTACCACTGCACCAACCAACGATTGGTAACTACTTATAAATCTTTAACTTCTTTGTAATGACCAGAATTACATTTTACTACGTATGTATTATGTTTCTTTTTTATTTCAATTAAAATTTATAATAAATTAAATTATATTTAATTTTTAATATTATTTTTTTATTTGATTAATTGACTACAAGTAGTATCATAGCTGTCAACATTTCATGTTTAATTTTTGAATGACATATTTTAATTTTGAAAATTATATAATAAAAAAATTTTGAGGAGTAAAATTATACATTCGCAAAATTATAATTCAGAAGTGAATTTAAGTCTATTTATATTATACTTGTAATGAGACAATATTTACCTCATTAGTTTGCATTTGGAAGAATAATATTGAATTATTAGAATTTATAAATAATTATTTTTTTAATATGTATAAAATTATTATTATTTATATAATATAGCAAAGAGGAAATATGTTTTTTTTATTCAATACTCACAATAATTTAGTAAATAATATTATTATTTTAATATGGGCACCTTTAGTTGAACTCTAATAAAAGTAAGGGTGAGCATCAGTTTGAGAATTGATCCAAAATCAGAAAAATCGAAGAAAAAAAAGGTAAATGGATGGATTTCAACGTGTTATAGATTTAGACAGATTAAAAAAATGACGTAAAATAATTAATTTTGGTTAGACTTGATTTAAGTTCAACTGTTGAAACAAAATAAAAAATAAATTAATTTTTATTCAGGTTAAAAAACTAAACTTATTTTAATTCATTTTTAATCTTTATTATTAACATACAAAAAGTTCTAGTCAATGATGTAATTTGTAACTTCCTTTTTTGTATCATATATTTAAAATATTATTATAATATTTAAATTGTTTGAAATTTGAATATTTTTATTTATTTTGAGTTTAAATGAATTAAATAATATTTGAATGGTTAAATATATAAAAAAAAAAATATAAGAATTAAAAAGAAGGAGAAAATAAATTGAATAGAATTTTTTTTTAAACTAATTAAATGATCTAGAGTCCAATTCAAGATATATGAATCCAACCCTTGAATACCCTTAAAAGAAAGCTTCAACCAGAAGCAGACCTTGTGAGCGTTGTTTTTATTTTTTATTTTTAATAACTTTTGTGAGCGTTGGCCGTGGGTTTGTCGGTAGTAATATTCTGAGTAGTTAATATTAATCTGTCAAAGTCGTTAATTCAGTTGGTGGTTAAATTACGGACTTCCACGTGAACGTTTGCGTTTGGGTCGAAGTCTTCAAATTTATTAGGCCTCCATTTGGGCCAGATATTGCTCCAAAACAATTACAAAATAAAAACCCCTTTTTCACTCTTCACACTCCCTATTCTTTTTTTTTAAGAAAAATTTCATATACCTAAAATACTCTTCATATTCACACTCTTTTAGCTTTTGTGATTTTTCTTTAAAAAATTTCATATATCCAAAATTGTTACCCTTCTCATTCCCTTTCACCTCATCTTCAAACATCCTCACCTTCATTTTTTTCACTTATTTTTTTTCCTTCGTATATTTCATTGTCTTCTCCTTATTACTTTTTTTTTTAAAGCATTTCATTTTTGGTGTTTTTCCGTGTGTCTTATTGATGCCATACAAATTATTTTTCATTTAATTTTTATCAAATTGGACGTGAAGTTTTTTTTTTTAGGGGAATTGGACGTGAAGTTAAAAAACGAAAACACAAATAAAAAAGATTGATTAAAACTCACATGCAGGAGTAAAGAATGAGTGAGAGTGTGAAGGAAGGAAAAGAACGAGCGGAAAATATGAGGACAAAGATGATTTATGTATT